ACTTTCTGTAATTACCTCTTTCAAGGAATTGTATCTTGTACTCTCGCGTATTCAGAGGCATATCAATAAAACATTGACTTTTTCAAAATCTTTCAAATTGCGTTTTTCTTTTCAGACTTGTTTGCAAAATACTACGATTATTTCTTGTAAATACTGCATTGAAATCATTTTGAGGATTTGACAAGTAAAAGTGTTTCATAAAACATCAAAAAACATTTTGGTTAGAAAAAACATCGAAAGAAAATCCACGCCTACGTCCACGTCCACGCCTACTTTACACCCACGTCTATGTCTACGTCCACACCAGTGCCAACATCCACGTCTACACATACGCCTGCGCCTACGATACAAATATCAAGATCTTGCCGACACTTTTCACCATGTTCAAATCAATTCAAAGATACCACGACGATACAACATACAACATCGTGGAGTTGGTAAAACATAAGTAATGATTTAAGAGGAGAGAATATCAAAAAACATTTTTCATAATATTTTGGGGGATATACAAACATTTGTTGCATGTACATATAAGGAAAATTTGGGGCATATATCACACTTGGGTAGCAAAGCAATTCATGTTGATAGTCTTGGTTAAGGACTAACACAACCGACATCATCAATGAATTTGGGTTTATTTCTTCATGTTGATAATTTTGGTTGAGGACTGACAACAACCGACATTATCACTGAATTTGGGGTTTATTTCTTCATGTTGATAGTCTTGGTTGAGAACTGACACAACCGACATCATCAGTGAATTTGGAGTTTATTTATTCATGATGATAGTCTTAGTTGAGGACTGACACAACTGACATCATTAGTGAATTTGGGGTTCGTTTCTTCAAACATAGCATATTTCATTTGGTTATCGAGTCTTAGTTGAGAACGGACATAACTGACGTCGTCTTTCCAAGTTCCAAATATTTGGTTTCAAGCTCGTATTATCTATCCTCTAGGTTGTGGTAGGTATACAAAAATATTTAGCTCATTATGTTAGTCTCAAAGCAGCAATAAGTTCTCTCTCTCTCTCTCTCTCTCTCTCTCTCTCTCTCTCTCTCTCTCTCTCTCTCTCTCTCTCTCTCTCTCTCTCTCTCTCTCTCTCTCATCTCTCTCTCTCTCTCTCTCTCTCTCCTCTCTCTCTCTCTCTCTCTCTCTCTCTCTCTCTCTCTCTCTCTCTCTCTCTCTCTCTCTCTCTCTCTCTCTCTCTCTGAGACTAATCTATTGCATCAGTCTCCATGCAGCAATGTGTCATCAGACTTTATTTTATTTATCCCTAGGTTGCGCTGAATAGATAAAAATTAAATCAAAACTTACTATATTAGTCTCAAAGTATTAGTAAGTCAAACTTTTTTCAAAACTTGTATTTTTGTAAATATGCAAGAGAATCTACAATCTCTTAGATACTGGTGAGTTATCTGCATCATCGCGTCTAAATTAAATCCAACCTTTGGTTCAAACACTGGTAAGATGATACATTATCATCTACGCCTACTCTTCATACCCACGGGACCTCTATACAGCATATCCTTATAATCTTTCGGATAAATTTTGGGGTCTTCCAATATTTAATAAACTTTCAATCAGAACGTGTGAGACCTGCGTATTCTCACACTATTCAATCAAAAGGAAATTAAATAGAGGCGCTGTCATACCTCAAAATTGTCCCATCATTACAATAGTTATATTTTATTTAGGTTTCTAAATAAATAATTCATATTGTGTAAGTTTTTTTTCTCTGGGGGTTTAAAACAGGGAAGATGGGTGTATTGATCTAAAATGGACCATCAATATCTGATGGCCCATTAAGGTTTCATTCTCTTTTTTTTTTAGAGGGGTGCATTTTTATAGAAGGGGTATACAATTTTGAAAAATCATGGGCATTTCTAAATCAGAAAGGGCCCGTGTAAAATCTTTAGTCCATTTTAAATGCTAAGGGGGGGGGGGGGGGGGGTGGGGGGGGTTCACGCTATTGAAGACATCTTGGACCATTTCTAAATAAGAATGGCCCATTTAGGTTGAAGGGTGTATAAACAATTAATTTTGTTTAAATCCCAATATAATTAAATCAGAAGGCTCATTAATGCATAGAAAGGGGGGTATTATTTTTTAGATGAGTGGCCCAATTAGTTAAACTTCTGGCCCATTTCAAATTTTTGTTGTACTAACATCATTAGTAGATTATCATTATTAATATTATTTTTATAACTTAATTAAAAGAACTTTGTTTGATTTATTAATTGAAAAACATTGATTTCCTGGACTGGCTCTTCTTCATTACAGGCCCAAACCCAAAACTAAGAAACGTTCACTGTACGGATTATGGAAAAATAACGCTTGTGTAGAGACAAAAACAAATACTATGCGAATCTAAAATGGAAACAGAATCAAATCTTGAATTTTTATTACAAATCAATCTTACATTCAAATTTTCCAAAACATAACTAAATCAATACAAAATCAAATCAAAGATCTTTACAGTCCAAAATCAAAACAGAATCATTATACAAACTTATTACAGATTACAACGAAATCGCAAACAAATCTTCAAATCCCTAATCAGCCTAAAAAGTAACGAATCTCATAAAATTATTTCCTAAAACACCTAATTATCTACACTATAAAACCACAACTTCTAAAATAGAAAAGAGGAGGAAGAAACAGTGACTGAAAATAGTTTTACATGGGAAGGAAAATTAAGAGAAAAAATTTTACAAAGAAGAAAAACGGAGAGGGTTTGTTTCCGTCACCAAATCCGCCGCTCCAGCTTAGGGTTTCAATTTCTAAAACCCTAACTCTCCTTGAAGCGCCGCCGCTATATCATCTTCATCGTCGTTTCACCTGCAAACAGAAGGAGGAAGGGATTAGTGAAGAGAGATCGGAACTCAAAGAAGAAGAAAAACCACGACGAGGTAACAATTGCTTAGCTTAAAGGTTTTTTCTGTTTGTTGTGTTTATTTGAGGGTTGGGGCTTGTGGTTTGTTATGATTTTATTGTTGTATTGAGGGAGGAGGGGGACGACCGGCGCCGCCGCAGGTTGGGGTAGGCTAGGGTTTCTATGAGAGAGGCGAGAGAACGTTTCAAAGAAAGGGAGTAAGAGAAACGAAAATGAGGAAATATTGTGTAAAATGAAATATATTATGTCCAATCATCCAATACGCGCAATACCATGATAATTACTTTGCACACTCAATCATGCCCGCATGATTTCAATCAGCGTTCCAAACGTGTATGTCCACTGCATTACCGTACGACCACACGCATGAAGTCAAGCGGAGTCCCAAACCCTTTGAGTCTGGCCTATTGCTAGCCAAACCCTCTTTTTATTTTATTTTACTAACACACACACAAAAACGTACCCCCCAACCTAATGGGCCAAGTCCAAAATCTAGACTTGGGTCTCTACTGTTTACATCTCTCAGCTTTACTGCGCGACCCAAAAAACATATCCCCCCACCCCCCCACCCCACCCCACCCCATGCGTTGGGCATGAATTCAATATCTGAATTCAGGGCCCTGCTACGCGCACCCTCCTATTTTACTAGCCTAACTTAATTCACACTCCCCCTACGTTTTCTAATTTATTTTTATTTATTTATTATTTATAATTTTTACATTTTATACTTTAATGTAGTTATAAATATTATCATTATTATGAAATCAAATATTAATTTTTCTAAATTCATCTAAAATATTTATTTATTTGATTGCATTAAATTTATTTTTTTATCATGCATTAATAAAGACATTTTCATAATTAATATATAAAAAATATTTAACCAACACTAATTATTTTTCATAATCAAATTAAATTCCACAACCAATTTTTAAAAAGGATTACGAATATATTTAAATCGACTGCATGTTTCGTCTAATAAACTCCGGTATTCACACACCTAGACTAAGTACACGGGAAATACAAATATCTTCGTAATCCATAAAAATATCAATCAACTGCGAACTACAAATTGAGACTATGATTCCTCATAAGAGGATACGTAGGCATACGTCTAAAATTGTGGCGAGTTCCCCTAATAAAAAACTAAAATCATATTTCTTAAAGACCGCGCTTCTAACCCTGATATCCTTGTGAACAAGATAGATGAGGGGTGCCTAACACCTTTTCCTTCGTCTATAACCGAATCAAAAACCTAGAATCTCTAACTTTTTAGAGCTAACCTTTATATTCCCTTCCTTAGGATAAAAATTAAGGGTGACGATTCTTATTTTAAAACCAGCTACAACAGACGGAGCGGACCAACTTAAGGTACCGAGCTAAAAACCTCAGCCCAACTTGCCAAAGATGGTGGATCAAACGGACCGACCCAACGGATCCATCCCATTTTGCCACCCTTAATTTTATCTCCATTAATAACCATCCAAGATGTATTACACATTCCAAATTTGTCTTGCAGCTTGTTATGTATCAATAAGCTAACACAATAAAAATTGTCAAACGCATTTCTTTGATACCCATCGTGTTTTACAGGATTTGACTGATTGGCATTGCAAAGCAAAATGGTGAACTTTACTACTTAAAAGATGAACCAAAAAACAAGCATCAATATAGACCAATAAATTTTTGGGTTAATTCGTATTTTCACACTTGCAATATAGCAAAATTTGAAGAAAAAAACTGTACAAAAAATAGATTCTCTCCCTGGCTTATGAAAATTCCTCTGTTTTAGCCTCTCATTATACCCAATCATCATAATAAATAGATTTTCAATTATTTGCAGCAATGTTTGAGAGTCTAATAGAGTCTAACAGAATGTCCATACAATTAAGCATAGGTTGATATTATTAATTCGTATGATCACTATTTACAGCATCATAAAAGTAGCAAAAGAATTACAACAATTCAAGAACCAGCAACAAAGCCAAAATAACATTTTTCTCTTCAAAATTCAAGTGGTGCTTGAATAGCTATGAAAACTATAAAACCAAATTTTAAGCATTCAATTACAAAACAAACTCATCAGGTAAGAATTAAAGATACCTCATGATGACGAACGTCTTCCGTTTTCGTCCGACATCATTCCCTTAAGACTCCTGGCTAACCAAATCGCTGTCTCCCTTGGCGAGACCTTGTCTTTGCCGAATGGCTTTAGAACAACTTGAAGTTCTTCCAATCTGTTATGCTGCAACAAGTCTGCGGACAATTCCAAGAGCTCTTCGAGTGCTTCTGCTCTCTGCTGAAAAGATTTCACGTCGAGTATTTCCTTCGCTAGTGGTTTGTCTTCGGTGGTTGTAGGAGCGTTGCATTTAATATGCTCAGCTGAATCGGATTCTGAAACTAGAGAAACAGCGTTGTTCACTTCTTGTTCCTTAAGGCTAGGATGTTCGGAGACACTTGATTTCAAGCTCTCGGCATCGGAGAAACTTGAGCCTGCGTTTCTCATTTCAAACTGATCGGAAATGTTTGATTTCAAGGTAGCGGATTCAGAGGAGCTTGAAGATTTTAGAGTCATGGGAGAGGTTATGTTTCTCATTTCTGTGTCGTCTCTCATAGCGTTGATGAACTTGCCAACGTCGACATTCTGAACTCCCATTTCCACCGATTCTTTTACCGGTTGATCACTCCCAACACGGTAACTACTATGGCGAATAACATGGATGATATCGTCAAACGCTGCAGGAAGATGATTAGTATCTGGCCTTTCTTGGCTAGATACTTTAGTAGCAGTAATTACAGGAGCTGTTTCAGTGACCAATGACAATCGATCCTTAACCGTGAATTTGTCATTACCAGTGACAGTTTCTGGTCGATTATTGAGATTGTTTACCGAACCAAATTCTTCACAGACAGATTTCTCTCCAGAGATTGAGGGTGGATTTTTGAGAGACTTGGCTAAAGTCAGTTCCTTAGAAATATCTCGAAGATCTTCGATTTCTTCTGCTGCTTCAGCAGGTGTACCAACGGATCTAGTTGTCTGATTTTTCGGAAGACTATCTTCCGAAGCAAACATTTTCTTAGAATTTTCAATAGGGAGATCATTAGGAGTTAAATTGGAACTCACTTTTTCATTACTACTAATAGTATTCTGAAATTGACGGTGGCTTCATTGGAGTCCTCAGACATTTCTTCAGCCATCTTACAATGCGAACACGTTGTCGACTGGCTGCTGTCTGGACGTGATTCCACACCTACACTGTTTGTTACATTGTCATGATTTGGAAGTATATGTTCTCTCATGTCAATAAAAGTTGTTGCATCGTCAGCAAGTTCACATCCTTGAATCGAAACCGAAGACGAGGCAGAATTACTACTGTCTGTTTGCAATCCTTTAGAACTTCTTTCAAAAGCCTTCTGAGGTTCTCTAGTAATCTGTCTCGAAATACGTGGTATGCCGTTGAACATATGGCATTGGCTCATCTCGGATTCCTGGCCTGAATTACTTGGACCTAGCTTCCTGCTATCGCTCATTGCATTTGGATTATCAACCCCTGCCAGCCTCATTCGTCCTGCAAAAGAAGGTCGTCGAAGTAAGCTTGGAGGAGTTCTTTGCCTTGGCCTGGGAGGAATTCCATCTCCTTCAACTTGTTTTATAAAACCAGATAGTGGAGTCGTATCAAGTTTTGGTTTAACTTTCGGTGACGGCTCTGTCATTAGTAACTGCGAGTACATAGAAATAAATTTTAATAGCTAACTGTGACAACGTATACCAATTAAAACCGATTTCAAAAGATAATGTACCTGGAGCTTTGAATGATACGATACTTGTATTCGTTTTGCGGAATCAGGGGTTGCCTTTACAAGTGGAACAGTCGGTGACTCTAAATTAGCCTTCAAACTAGGAGAAATGATAGTAGGTTTAGGCAATTTAGACAATATTTCTGTATTTACTTTCGGCGCCGATACTCCAACGGTTTTTACACGACTGCCCCTCATCGGAGAAGTTGCATCTCTACCTCTCCCTTCCTTCAATGCCATCATTATATTTCTGATTGTTTTTGGCTGTTTAGATTCAACATTAGAAGAACACTGTTCACTTTGAGAAGATTTTATCGCCTCTTGCTCTGAGCCATCATCGTTGATTAATGCAACATCTATCTCCGTGGCTTTGCTATCATCACTTTTTGGCGTTGTTGTTGCAATGTTTCTCTCAATTGACATTAAACTATCTTTATCACTACTTGAACTAGTACTGTTCTGACTTTCAGCCATATGTTTTTTGGTATCATTGACGGAAGAAAGTGGTTTTTCAGGAGAAAAGGCTGTTAGAGGAGCGAAAGACGGACGATATTGATCGACGTAAGGTTGCAAATAAGGATGCTTCAACACCTCAGATGCCTGTAGTGAGAAAATATAGTGAGCTGGTTTAGGGGAAAAAACAAGGATGGTAAATCATTTCCAAATTTGAAAAAAAGAAATATTGTTCTCGAGAGATGCTTACCGTTGGTCGATGCTCGGGGCTTTTTCTCAACATGCCTTTTATTAGTATTTTTCTGTAAGTAGAGTATTCAACAATAAGAAAATAATGAAAAAGTATTGATCATAGCAGAAAGTAGATAGATACTTACAATGAAGGGGAATAACACGGAGGCAATGGACCGATAGAGGAACGGTTTATCTTGCTTATTAATCCTGCCATATCCTGAAACACAATTTACAAGGCATTGTTAAACACACATAAGAAATAATATATTGAGATACCTTAACATGCATAAAAATCTATGAAACAGTGTAGAGAATCACATGACTAGTTTACATCAGTGATAGAGTAAAAATGTCGAAAGAAACTTACAAATGCTTTAAAGGCAGGGCGATGAGCAGCCATCTCGTATACACAACAGCCTGAACAACAAAAATTTCATTTCAGTTATGCCAAAAACCAAATCTGCGAGAGCATCAGATACGTGCTTATAGAATACATACCTAATGACCAAATATCAGATTTGAATCCATACGGAATATCTGCAAGAAGTTCAGGACACATGTAGTTTGGAGTTCCTACCACCTGCATAGAAAGTAGGAACATTTACAACAGCTACTAATTCCACATCTTGTAACTATGTATTTGTACATATACATAAATGAAACAAGTTCCGTATTTCATACCGAAGAAGCCAAATCATCTGCTTTTAGTGTCTTAGCAAGCCCGAAATCTCCTATATGCCAGAAAAATACAGACAAACTTGGGATAAAAAGATGAAAACTTAAGTATCTATATCCGACTTAATAAAAAATGGTAGATGAACTTACCAAGGCGGATATCATGATCCTTGGTAAGAAAGATGTTGGAACACTGTCAGCAGAGTCAACAAATCAGACTTAATATATTTTGAATCGATGACTAGAAAGGCAGGTGATATATTTTGCTTCACGTAAGTATACCTTTAGGTCTCGATGCAAAACATAATTTGAATGAAGGTATTCTACCGCCAAAAGTAATTGAGTGAACCATTTGCAGAGTTTCTGAACAATTTCAACGACTTCCAATATGAGATTACATACATTAAAACATTAGTTCAAGATTTTGGAAAACAAGAATAAATACCTCCTCGGGGAAGTAAGCACCGTTTAACTTTTTCATTAGTTCAGCCCTGTTGCAAATTTGACGAGAAAACAAGCAAATTTAATAGTTTGAGGAAATTCGGCATACTAAATTTATGAACTTTTTACATGAAACTACAAGTTCATAAGTTTAGACTCACATGTCTCCACCTTCACAGTATCCAGTGACAATGCAGACATAGCAACCCTACAACACAAGTAGAATGCACTTAGCTGATAAGAAAATAATCTACGATAGCACAATTTCTACGATGACATCAAGGTTTCTATTAGAATCTAGGTTAGGCCTAATTCATCCTACAAAACGACCATATCCTTTTCAATGTGGGACTCTTTAACACACCCCTCATGCCCAGAACTGGACATAAGCTTAGATATAAATGATGGGTGGTCCGATAGCAGAAACAACCTGATAGCAAGTGGTGTAACGGATCTTGGATAGGCTCAGATACCATATTAAAATTTGGGTTAGGACTAACTCATCCTACAAAACCGGCTTGTAAGGTAATGATTACCCCGACTTTTAAATATATATTGAGACCATATCCTTTTCAACACGGGACTCTTTAACTGTTTTTAATGTCCCCTCCACCTCAATTGAGGCTGCATTTAACAGCGATACTTCACAATATCAAGGATTGTGCAAACCCGATTAAAAAACATGATCATAGTCCACTCGTTATCAGTTTAGACAACATAAAATGAAATTGTTTACCCATCAACAAATAGTTGAAAGGAAAATAAGAACATCATACAAGAAATTAAGAGGGTCACTCACCTTTTCAACCCAAGCCTCCTTGAAATCTACAATGTAAGGGTGCTTGATTCTTGCAATAAGAGCCATCTAGAATCCCAACAATCAACAACAGTTAAATCACTTCCAAACAAACAAAAAGCAGATTCCAAACATATGAATCAAATCAACAAAAAGGATACACCAAAAAGAGAAAAAGTCACCTCTTGATGAGCAGATCTTCTGCATCTTTCAGTCTGCCTAGCAAGCCTGATTTTTTTCAACACATATCTACAAACAAACCATGAAACAAAAAAACCTTAAATCATCAAATTCCACATGAACACAATAAGATAAACCCATCAATGAAATTAAAACCCAAAAAAATGTTAACTGTTACTTCTTTTTCTCAGCCTTGTGATTAACAAGAATAGCAGCACCAAAAGCTCCACGACCGATCTGTTCCATGATCTCATACTGATCCATCTTAGATTCCATTGTTCACACAATTCTCAAACAAAAAAAACACCCAACTTTAGAAACCAATCTCACACCATTTCCCACTTCTCAAAATCATTCCTTTCCACATCAAATTGCTGAAACAAGCTTCTTCTACATTGCTTCTATGACAATTTTTTTCTTACTCTGAAAAGGGGTCCACTCAACAATGAGCAACAATAATAACACACCCTTGATGATTTTTGTGAAGAATCACAATAAAGAAGATTGAAAGTTTCAATCTTTATTGCAAATGAATGCTGAGAACAAAGCAACACACAACACAAAAACATAAACACTTTATCTCTCTTGAATTAAATTTTAGAGAGAGAGAAGAAGAACAAGAGGAGGGCTTATGGGTGTGCTTGGTTTTTCGCCGACAGTCACAGCTGGTCTTCCAGGTTCATGGTTTTCAATTTTTTCTTGTTTTTTTTTTTTATAATTTTCTTGTTTCAAAATAAATAAAAATTAATAATATTTTTTTTATTTCTAAATTGAACCTTGTTATTGTTCTTCCTTTCATAAATTCAATCATGGTTTGATGGTGAAAATGAAGTATGAAGAATGTCAACTTCGTATGAGAAAAAGAAATATTGCTGTCAGATTATCTATTTATTTTTCTATAATAAGTAATATTTCAATTCTCACCAACATTTGTGGATTGAATATCTAATGTTTGTTTTTTAATTTGTACTTTTGTATCAATAAAAAAAGTAAAAAGTCATGTTTATTTATTTTTATTTTATAACCGATAAACTTATATGTTAACCGGTTGTTTATATTACTAGTTGATTTAATTTATACCACTTAATAAAATTGTGGTTTATAAAACAATTATGATGGATTGTTTATCTCCTTTTTGTTTGAAGTATCCTCCCTTGTACAATGATTGTCCTTTGTAAATAGGAGTTAAGGGAGACAATGGTACTTCAATATCAATGAATGGTCATATTGGAAATCTATCAAAATTTATGATGGATTTCTACTAATTTTGATGAATAAGATTGATATCGTCATATAATGATGATGGAAAAAAAATGAAGAAAGAAAGAAAGTATTTTTCTGCAGAGTTTCTCTTTGTCCACAGACTGTGGAAAATTTTATTATTTACTTGCAATTGTAAATTCTGTGAATACAATGTGTTGATTGACTTGATTACAAAAATAGATATTACTCTCTCTATTTGTAGATTTAGGTTACTTTGCTTTTGTAAGCCAAAAACTCAAAATTATAAAAGTCTAAAATACTTATTTCGAAACTAAATCAAATTTATTATATTTTAGATCTAAATCAAATCTATCTAAATCTAAAATCAAATATGTGTGCAGTATCTTCGACACTTCCTTGTCTCTATCGAGTAAATCGTTTCGACACAAGGAATTACTTTCAACACACCACCTAATTCATTGTGTCTAAGCTATCTACATTTGTTCTGGACTGGGCCCGCCCTGGCCCAAAAAGAATGGATAAAGGCCTAATCCAAGCAGCTCCTCGAGGAACGTGGGCGCACAGACTACCACCAGTGTGCTCGACTACATACTGCAGCCATGTCCGCCGCTGCCCGCGACACATGGTGTCCCCGACCAAGGGAATTTCAGCTCGAGCTCTGCTCGAACACTATCCTCGTAGGGCAGACTCTGTCCTCTCTGACCATTATCGAATCATCTAAACTCCAGAAAGACCGCGTCTTCGTCCCTCCTCATTCTTCGCAGAGCATCACTAGGAAGGGGACCACGTGCGGGGCCCCACTACACACGTAGAACCTGGCAGTTCCTTTATTTGGGCTTGTTCTGGTCGGCCCAGTAAGGGGACCTTGGCCCAGCGTTGGGGGCTATAAATACCCTCTGTTCCCAGAGGGTCAGGCAATTCATCTCTGACACATATATACACTTTTTACCTGCTCATTCCGTCTCTCACTTTAGCATCGGAGTGCCTTGCAGGTACCCCCCATCTCATTCAGATTCTGCTCGAGCCAGTCATGACGGTCCAAGTCTGATCAGGCAAGATCAGTGGCACCGTTTGTGGGAAACTAGCTTCACCGTCTTGCAAAACCTCAAAGACCAAAGCTCAAAATCACCTCCTACCGTCATGGATGACCAAGTTCGGGAGGACCAGAACATCTGCGTCGTCGACACCAACAACGGCCTCGCAAATAAAAATGGAGTCCCCGACAGCACCGGTAACCCCGGCCATAACGCACTCCCCGGGGGCACCATCCCCGGGCCCTCAGTCCACCGCGACGGAGCTACTGCGTCATCTTCTTCAGTCCCTCCGCCGCTCGAAGAAGACAACGCAGATCCCCAAAACCATCGAGCTGCCCAATTTCAAGAAGTCCATGTCCCTGCCGGGGCAGATGCCACAACCCGCGCACTATTCGCGGCGATCAATCAGACCAATTACCTCATCTTTGCCCAGGGGGAAAGATTGAGGGTGCTAGAAGATGATAGAAGACCCGCGGAGAGACACAGGAGGCCCCAGACTCCACCTCCTCGAGTGACAGAGGTACATCTCCCGTCTCCCCCGCGGAGACAATACAGAGACACCTCCCGAAGCCCGTCCCCCCAACCCTCGGGGAGACGACCCCCTTGAAAAGGCAACCCGTCATTGAAGCCGGAGGGCGCAATCATGGCCCTGTACGGCAAGAAAGAAGACACTCCGGGGACAGGCACGGAAGAATTGACCAACGAGCACCACGCTCGAGGGATGCCCAGCACGACCAGGACCGTCGGGCACGACAGTATTTCAGGTCCCCATCCTTGTCCCCGGAGCGAAGTGACGAGGATGACCCCCGCGGTCCCTTGTCACAAGCCATCATGGAGGCGCCCATTCCTCCGGGCATGGAGAAGCCTCCACATCTGAAGGAATACGACGGAGTCGCGGACCCAGTCGACCATATAGACGGGTTCGAGGCCATGTTGCATTACCACAATGTCGGGGGACCCATCAAATGTCGGTTGTTTCCCATGACCCTCAGAAAGACAGCAATGGATTAGTATAAAGGCCTCGCCCCGGGATCAATCACCTCGTGGCGAAACCTGAAGAATCAATTCATAAGTTCATTCACTGCGTCTCGGCGACACCCTAAGACCGAGGCAGCACTCGAGGCCATCATCTAGAGACAGGATGAAACCTTGAGAGAATTTATCAATCGCTTCAATCACGAAGCCATACAGGTCCCCTGCGTAGACCACATGAAAAGGTACTTGTTGGAGAGGGGGCTCCTCCCCGGCACAAAATTTAGAAAGGCGGTGGGCATCGAACCACCCCGAACATTTGATGCTCTCCTCGAGAAGGCCTAGACGTATATGGATTATGAGGAAAGGGAGGCGGCCAACAGAGCCTGGGACCCCAAGACTCGCGGATCCAGCAGCAACCCGCGCCAAGAAGCCGCTCCTCCTTGACGAATCGGGGAGAAAAGAAAAGAGGACAGACCCCGAGAAGTCCACGAACAGAGAGGACCCTCCGGGCGCTTCATAGAATACACTCTGCTCACAGCTTCCCGCGAGCGCATCTTGGCGGAGTGTGCCAGTACGGACTTCAAATACGGCAGCGTCAAACGCCCCCGACCCGCTCCTGCCAAGCCCAGTGTAGACAAGAGCAAGTACTTTCAGTACCATAGGAGCCATGGTCATCTGACTGAAGACTGTGTCCACCTCAAGGACTCCATCGAAACACTCATCAAGGGAGGGAGGCTCGCCCAATACCGGCGAAATGATGCTCCTCGTCGTGACGCTCGGGAGACAAGAGAACTGGAGGAAGACGCCCGACCATCTGACGAGTTGGCCCCCGTCCAGACCGCCTTCTCCGTCACCAGACCAGAGGACTTCTACGTCCCCTAACACCTGCAGGAACCGCTCATGACACACAGCAGGTGGGAATACTTTCCCTCTGCCATGGTCATCAATGGTGGAGGATTCAACGACCTAACTATCAATTCAGCTAAGAGAAAGCTGGATGAACTGGTCGACTCGGTACCTCCGCAGACAGTGACCTTTGAAAGGGTAAAAGGTAGATCAGAGCCTATCACCTTTTACCTCGAAGAGCTCCCCGGAGGAGCCCCCAACGCAATCATTCCTCTGCTGATAAGAGCAAGAATGGCTAGCTTTGACGTGCACCGCGTCCTCGTCGACGAAGGAAGTTTCGTCGATGTGATGTACAGTCAATTATTCCGGATTCTGCAGCTAGACGACTCGCACCTCTTGTCGTATGTAGGGTCGGACTTACAGGGCTTCAACGGCTCGACCTCCAAGCCTTGGGGATATGTTGAGCTCATGGTTACCTTCGGCGAGGACACGACGACGAGGCAGGTTAAGGTGCACTTCCTCGTCATCGACTGCCCGTCCCTCTACAACTGCATCCTGGGGAGACCAACACTAGCAGAACTGACCGCGGTGCCCTCCACCGTCCACTTGAAGATGAAGTTCTACACCAAGAGGGCACGGGTGGCTACCATCCAGGGGGACCTAGCCGCTGCTCGAAGGTGTTTTAACGCCGCTTCCAAAGGACGCGGCACTGTCGACACTGGGACAAGGCCCGCCAAAAGACCGGTGACGACACGACAGGAGCCCGGCAAAGTAGAAGACCAGAGACCTCCCCCAAAGGTCAACTCCATAGCTCTTGATGCCCGTTTCGATTAAGACGAACCTCCCAACGACGAGCAAATCCCCCTCCGACAAATCTCGGACGGGGACTTTGAGCTCGTCCCCCTCGGTGCAGACCCAAGCAGAGGAGTGAAGATTGGCATCGACCTCCCCGACCTGGCAAGGAAGCAGATCAAAGCCTGCTTGTGCGAGAATGCTGACCTGTTCGCCTGGAGCGCCGCGGAGATGCCCGGACTCGACCCCGAGGTCGCCTGTCACCGTCTCGCCATAGATCCTGCCGCTAAGGCAGTAGTACAACATAGGCGTAGGCAGTCTCCGGAGAAAACGGAGGCTGCTGAAAAAGCTGTAAAAGACCTCCTAGAGGCGAATTTTATTTCTGAAGCCTGGTATTCAACCTGG